TCCTTGACCATTCACGGTAGCTTGTTCCTGAATAAAGCCAGACTTCAAGTGTGATTTAATCCATGCAAAAAATACTTGCTTGACTCACCTGTCTGAGGTTCAGATCAGCCACTATTATAAAAACATTTACTGGGAGAAAATCAGATAAACAACAACCTGAATTAATATCTGAAAGACCGTTATAAAAATGCCACCCTTGATGTTTTGCTAAAATCAAATCATAGATTTATTTTTATGATAGGAATACATGCATTATTTGTTATTGAATCTTTTTCTGACAGCAAAGTAACGTGATTTAATAATAACAACAACAACAACAGTAATAATAATAATAATAATAATAATAATAATAATAATAATAATAATAATAATAATAATAATAATAATAATAATGTGCTACAAACTGTATGATAGTAATTCAGCTCCATGTCCAGCAGGTGGCGGTGGTCAAATGTTCCAGTCCGCCAAAACCCACGAAGAAGAAAACTGCGTCACCATTCAAAACAATACTCCCAGTTCCTCCTGACTGGCTGTGTGTGGCGCCGAGTCCCCAATAAAGATGTCTCAAAATAACCCCGATCAAGAAGACCAAACGTCCGGAGCCAAAAAGACAATTTCTCTGCCGATTTCCAGAGTTAGGCTGATAATGAAGAGCTCCCCGGATGTTTCCAGTATCAACCAGGACGCCCTCTTCCTCACCACCAAAGCCACCGTAAGCCGCCACTAGCTTTTATCCTCCATGTGTCGGTGCTAGCATACTTAGCATCGTTAGCCGGCTAGTTTTAACCGAAAATGTCCGTGTTGTGCGAGGTTTTCTGACTTGTCTTGTGTCGTTAAAGGAGCTGTTTGTCCAACATTTGGCCCTGTCTTCGTTCAATAATGGTTCCGGGAAGGAAACCAACTCGTTGTCATACAGCGACCTGGCTAAGACCGCAGAGGAGACGGAGACTTTCCACTTCCTCACAGGTGAGAAACACCGACTCACACACGGTCCTGTAGCCGACCAGGGGGCCCTCCAGGCCGGCTACCAGGGCCCCGGGGGTCCGCAGTGCTGGAGGATGTTTAAGATAAGATCAGTTCAGTTCAGTTTATTCGAACAACAAAACAATATAAGATGTGTAAATACAACACAACACAATGAATACATAACACAATGAATACATAAACCATAATAAATTGTTCGAAAAGGAATAGGACGAAGTATAAACTTTTAAGTTTCCCATCCCTAATGATTCAAGTGACCTAAGTTGCTCATTTAATTAGTTACATTCACTCTTCCATATTAATCTACCTGTTTTTTATCTTTCCTCGTCTACATATTTATCCAAAAGTAATTTTTTGTACCTTCTCTTAAACAAATTTATGTTCACACTCTGCTTTGTTTCCGTTTGTGTCTGCTTTAAAGATAAGAGCTTTATAGTTCTCACAGTGGAGAAATTCACTGGTCACACATCGGTTAGAGTTCAAAAGGAGGAAAAGGTGCATAAAGTACAGCAAAAGCAAACAAATATACAAGGAAGCAACACAGCGTAGAGATTTGGGTGATTAAAATATATACAATCATTGATGGCTCACACACAGTACACATATTACACAGGTCAATAAATATAACACAATTGCACAGCAGTTGTTAAAGTGCAGAGTTGTACAGTCTGGTAGCAGCAGGGAAATAACACACAAAACAGTTAGGTGGTCGATCACTCTCCTGTTCAAAACGACGTTTATTTTTCATTAGTTATTTTCAGGAAATGTAAATAACGAAGTTCAATTTGTTCTTTTTTTAATCACAATTCATTGTCTTTTGTTTATAAATTAAGTTGAACTAGAAAAGCAGGTCTAGAGTATTAATTAGAGTATTAAGCTGGAGGATGTTTAAATAACAGATAACAGTAAGGTGGTCGACCACTCTCCTGTTCAAAACGACGTTTCTTTTTCATTTGTCATTTTCAGGAAATGTAAATAACCAAGTTCCTTTTGTTCTTTTTTTCTATTATGCCTATTATAAAATGAAGTTGAACTATATAAGCAGGTCTAGAGTATTTATATTACTACTTTATTACAGTTTTATTGACTACTTATTACAGTATATTAATAGTAAAATACAGTGTAGTTCAGCTACCACATACAGGGAACACAACAGCTTATCAAGTCTATTATTACAACTTTATTATGAGACAAAGTTATTTAAAATCCTGATATTTTAAGCACCACAGTAGAACATATTATCTATACCATCTCTGTCATTTCAACTTTGAGTTATCTTCCAGCTTTATAAGACTTTTTCCTTTGGGTTTTGTCCTTTCTTTTGTCTTTAAAGGAGACTATAAGGAACATTTCCTCTCTCTATTATTGTTAACAAATCTATTAATATTGAAAAAAATCAACATTTTCCTCCGAATGTCATCTTATTTTCTCTCTTCGTCAAACAGATATCTTGCCTAAGAAGATCTTGGCTCGAGATTACCTCAAATCTTTGGAGCAAATGCAAGAGGAGGAGGCAGATTTTTAAAAAGATAAAGAAAAGGACCCCCCCCCCTTCGGTTATCCGATCTGCACGTCCTGCTTCTCACTAAGAGCCAAGTGACTGTGAGAAAAGACTCTCTGAGCTCTTCTGGTGCTTTTAAACTCACCGAGTTCTCGTAGTTCTTCCGGGGAAAAGTTAGAGGACACCGAACTGAGATTAAAGCCAAATAAGAGCATCAAAAGCTAAATTCAAACGGAACAAAACGCAGACTTTTAGAAGACCAGCCTTGGTGTGATGGACCAGAACCAGGAAGAGTTAGATTCAAATTGGTGTCAAACGCTGACTTCAAAAGTCCAAAATGCTGTTACTGATTCACACATTCACCATATTTAAAGACACGCCGATGTTTTGAGCTCCAAAAGTACTTGAAAGTTGTTTGAACTAATCGATAGTACAAATACCTCCGTGTTTTTTCTTTTTTATTTCCAGCTACAGAGCGGCTGAATAAGCTGCGTCTTTAAGTAATAATTCACGCCGAACATGTGAATATTTAAAATGTATATAAGTTGTAAGGCATCCTGCTCATGTACTTTAGATTTGATATGAAAATAAAGATTGATTCTTTACTGAATGTCTTTTATTTATTTATTCGGTACCTTAAAAGAGACAAATGTGGGATTGAAAACGCTGTAATTTTCTTTCAAGTTTCATAAAAATGTTCCCAAGCCTCCAAATGGAAAATCTTTGCACATACGTGTCCTGATAAGGAGATTAATGTGGATCCGGCTCAATATACGCACAATAAGGCGTATATTAGGGAGCTTTGCTCTTATACAGGATATTTTTATACAGATATGGTTCAAATAAGAGGTTTAAATAATACTTTGTCGTTGTTGGATGAGTTTGTTGTGTTGAAATCCCACATTAAGTAGAGTTTTCTGTAAGGTGGAAAGCTGGTGAATAAGTAAATAAATGAATAATAATAAAGGGCCATTTCACTATATTTTGTGCATCCTGATCTCTTAAAATCGCTATGCTGCTCAAACCTGGATATAATTATTCTAAATAAGTAGTGGATGATTTAAAAACTTGTTTGGGATTCATGAAACCTTTTTCTGATTTGGGGAAATTAAAAAAAGGGAGATTTCACTGCATTTTGGCTTAAAAAAAAAGAAAATATGTATAAAATCACCTAAAGAGTCACTAATGAGATGATGACAGCGAATTGGGGACTTTAGACAGAATCCAGGAGGTGGAACGTGATTGGTCCGCAGGAACATTAGCTGCGCACCGATTGGCTGTTTGGGCTTCCGTAGGGTTCGCTTTGCTCAAACTTCAGGAGGTGGTGGGATCGATACCCACAGGCTCCTGGGAGCTTTTCTTTTTTTAGGAAGTGGAGTTTTATCAGACAACAAGTGAATGTTACTGCACATTAAAGCTTTTGGAAAAACAACAACAATAATCTTTATGTGAACCAGAGAAACACACACGTGAAAGATTAAAAGTAGATTTGCATTTAGATATTGATTATATCAAACAGCCTCTTTACTCAAGCAGAATCCAACCTATTAACAATTATTTTGCATTTTGATATGCATAAGAAATTGTGCCTAGAAGTTAAAATGTTGAATATTAAAGTTAAAATGTTTAGCAATTATATAACCCACCACCAGGTGTCAGTAAAGGACCGCTGATCAGTCTGAATGTGATCTCAAAGACACGATTATAAGAATTATAAAGAAACTTAAATGTATTTTCTCTTAATGTGTTTTTTAAAGGATTTTGACAGTTTTTAGAGACAGTTAAAGAACATGGTTGTTTCTGCTCATTGCATTAAAATTAAGGTCAGTTCAAATGAAGCTGAAGAAGAACTGAAAACAGGTTTTCATGTGTTGTTTCCACATTCTTTGGCTGTTTCTCAATGTACAGATGACGTCCCAAAGTAACAAATCAAATGGTTAAACCTGACAGTTTGGTCTCGCTGCTCACTCAGTTGCTAAAATAATGTGATATCCTTTATTGTCCATGTTTAAGATCCCATGTTGGACAGTAAAACGGTGTAACAGACAAATGTTTCGGATGTATATGTACAAAACTAAACTCAATTGAAAAGGTTTTTGTGTTGTTTTTGTGTTGTTGCCCCAGTCCAAACAACCACTAATGCTCTAAAAAGACCAATATTTTCTAACCTTGATTAATTCTTTAGTGAATTTTTTATTAAGCTTTGTTAGTTTGGTTCTTTAGTTGGAAGCCTGAGAATAAACCGGAGCGGATCAAGAGTACAAATATGACATTTATTGGTCACAAGCAAAGTCAATCTCTCACAGACAAAGTTCCTGGAGGATCTCAGTTAGCAAAGAGCTTCGATTTCCAGGTGTGATGGACAGTTTTCCTCTGGGTTCGAACAGGAGGACGAGTGTTATTGGCCAGTTAGCTCTGACAGGAACAGGCCAGGTCCTAATTCATGCAGGTTTCAGTGGAATGTGATAAGAGAGTGTGAATGTTGTCCTTAAAGACGAGTATCTACTGTAACAGAGAGAGGAGGAGGAGGCACAGCCAGAGAGTTTAACACAAAAGTATCATTATAAAGGGAATAATATGAATCTAAAAAGGAATAAGACAATCAGTCATTTACATTGATTAAGTTATAACATACTATGCTAAAGTTAATAATTATAGCCCGATTCTAACATGAATAAGCTGCTTGTGACGCCACAAAACATCTTTTTCTTTCTTCTCATGGCAGAGATCTAAAAAGTAATAAGACAATCAGTCATTTACATTGATTAACTTTTAGCATGCTATGCTAAAGTGAGTAATTATAGCCCGATTCTAACAGTAAGCTAACATATTTACAGTTGGTGAAATAAGTATTTGACCTCTTGCTGATTTTGCAGGTTTTCCCACTTACAAAGAATGCTTATTTTTCCTCATCAGATGGTTATCCATTTGTATAAATTCATATGATGTGATTTTCTGGAATTTTCTTTGGGATTCTGTCTTTCACTGTTAGAATGTACATATGATTAAAGTTATAGATCGTTGCATTCTTTGTAAGTGGGCAAACCTGCAAAATCAGCAAGGGGTCAAATACTTATTTCCCCCGCTGTATGTGTGATTTAGGGTGATATTTGACCATTATCCTTCCTGCTTTTCACTGGACGCCTCACATTCAAACACAGACTTGACACCACACACAAAGTCCCTGCTCTTTTCGAGCTGAAATGGAGGCTGAAGTTCCTCTAATTGCAGCCTGATGGGCGGCAGCTGCATCCTGATTCGCGTTCGGGGGCTCGTCTCTTTTTGTCCCCCCCCGGTCCCTCCGGTCATCTGGAAGAGGGGGGACACTTCAGATGGCATCTGTTTGGACACTAGCCACAGAAAAAAAAATCCTCCCCAAACCCCCAAGGCCTGGAGCAACATCTGCCCTCACAATCGGTGGTGGATCCCGGCCAATAAGACGCATTCACCCCCCCCCCCACACCCCCCAAATCCAGCTTCACTCAGAGGGGCAATCATCCTTCTCCTTTATCGGAAACTCCTCCTGCGATTCAGCCATCCGACGAAGAGGAAGAGGAAGAGGAAGAGGA